GGGCTGTTAAGCAATAAAGCAATATCTTGCACTTCCCAGTATTTTGAATGACCTAGGAGTTCAGCCAAGTTATTTTACAAATTTTGCGTAACAAATCCCAGAGCTTCGATGACTATTGGTACGAACTGTGCTTTTACGCCGCACATTCAGCTGATCTCGATTTCCAAATTCTTGTATTTAAGACGTTTCTCTGCCTCCTTGATTACGACGTTTTGACCGCAAGGCACAGCCACATCTACAAGTAGACACGATTTTTTCTACAAATCCCGAATAACAATATTCGGTTTGTTTGCCGCTATCGAGCGATCCGTTTGAATTTGTTGATCATACAATATTGTATAGAGTCCAACAGACATAACCGGTTTTGGTGAGTGTTCGAAGAACTTGGTGCATGTGTTTGGAACTTCGAGGGCGGTAGAGATCTGGCAGTGGAGGTAACAACATACCTGTCATGTCTTTTCAAGTACTTAGTCTTTGCCTATAATTGGACAAGATGCGGCGATATGAGCAATGATTTCCACTTGTTCCTAACAAATGCAGCATTTATCATCTTCAGAAATTTTGTGAACTGCTTTATCATAATGTCGTGTTCTCAACGCCTGATCTTGGGCAGCTATTAGAACTGCTTCTGATTCTGGCTTCATTTTCCCTTTTTAAGCCGCATAAATGATTGATTTATTGATTTGTAGCTTGTCCAGTCTTTTTAGATTCTGTCAATGAGGTGGTTTGTCTCTCCACGATTCCTTTAACATTTTTGTGCATCACATTTCATGTTTAGTAGCATCAGAAGTTCAGTGTCTGTGTTATTCTGTCTTGCATAGTTTTCGTCGCAATGTTCCTTGCTACACTAACAATGCCTCTGTTTCTTTTTCTTCGGTCAGATTTAATGACCGTCCTCACTAGTGGGTCATCTTGATTACCGACTACATGCTTTCCCATTCCGACTATTGCATTGTGCCAGGAGGCTTCAATTTGTCTAGGCCTCTTCCTCCTTCCTTACGCGAACAAAGTCACGTACATCAGCTCGAGGCGACATGATGTATTGTGAGAAGTTTTCTGTTTTTCTTGATCCATGATTAGAATTTCTTGCTCCGTCCAGACCACTACTTTGCAAAAGTACTCGACTACAGACACTGCTAAACTACCAACTGCAGATATTTTATTCTTGGAGTACAGAGCGGACTGTAGGACAAGTCTCACTCTTCTGTAATACTCCCGCAAAAATTCTCTCTTTCATTGTGTTCATTCGATATTGCTATCTCATTCTTCAATGCTCAGATACAAAAAGTTTTACCTGGCTCAAGAAATTGAACCAGAGTTGCATTTCAAATTTAATTCTCACTTACAATGTCACTTTGCCTCTCTTTAAATTGATTTTTGCAAACTTGTCAATACCTAACTTCATGCAGATATCATTGCTAATGTCATTTACGACAGACAGCATTTGAGAGAGATTAACTTCATTCGTAGCTAACACTAAGATCATCCGTGTAAAACAAATGTAATACTGGTCTTTCATCATCATGGAGCTTGTAACCAAGGTCAGTGTGCGACGACTGTGTAGAAAGTGGGGTCAAACTAATGCAAAAGAGCAGAAGGGTTAGCATATCTCCTTACCAAATATCCCTGTTAATCTGAACACTTCTTGTTTCTACTGCTTCCTTTACGCTGTCTATTAGTAACCCGGTACTCCACGACTTCATCCTAGCCTCGAAAAACTCAATAAGTCTATGATTAAATCGATAGATCTCTAGGGTCTTCAAAATCCAATTGTTTGGTACATTGTCAAAGGCCTTCTGGTAGTCAGTTCCAGCCATGCTTAAATTACATTTTCGTTTCCTTAGTTCACTCGTTTGATTATTTAGAAGCAATATTTCCTTACAGCTATTGGAATCTTTACAGCACCATTTTTGTTCAACTGGCAACAGATGGTTTATCTCTAGTTGTCTGTCCATTTTGTATGCTATGGCTGCAGTTATAACTTTGTACATGACTGGCAGACAAGTGATTGCCATGTAGTTTTCGCCAAGGAACTGTGTGCAAATGGTACGTGATTCCGCGCGTAAGCCATTCCGGGAGTTCCTTTGGATTTGCTAACATTTTATTAACAGCATTTGCTAAATGAGAAGGTATTGCTGTTAATTTCTTTATAAAATGCTTGCTGTTAATTATTTTCAGTAGTACTGATACTATTTTTTTCGACATTTCAAATATCGCTTTTGAGAATGCTTAATAAAAAATATTGCGCTTTCTATTAAAAATCGAATCGAAAAAAATGAATGTCATGATGATATCGTGTTACTGAATTAACAAACCCAGTGAAACGAAATGCATTTCCCACTTGAAATTAGGAGGTAACTAAATTATTTAAGACCGGATTTCAGTTTCCAATTACATTTTCCCACCCCTTTCTACTACGGACAGGAGATATGCAGAATTAAATGTGAAAAATTCAAGTAACTTCCGAGTTACATAAATATCACCATTTTTCTCAGAGTTAATGAGTAATTGTATTCCTGCATAAGAGGTTTTGAATGATATCGAACAATACGTACACATAGTGTGAGAAATGTTACAACTTGTTTCAATCTTCCGTATTTATCTTAATGATACTTTCTGTGATCCGTTCTAATACTACAACTTCCTAGTTATACTAAGTGATATGTTGTTCAAAAACACCGTTCGCAAGGTTTTGCTTTTTATCCTCTTTCCTTCTGGAAACTCTTGCAACACTTACTACCTTTTCAGAAATGAACGTTTCTTCAAACTCTCCTCCTCTCCCTACTTCTCCTGAGTTTTACGATACTGAGAATTCATAAACAAATAGGCGAAATTACGATATTACATTATATAACTTATTTTTAAAATTGAATAACGACGCACATTTTTGATTAATTTTAACATTTCTAGTTGTAACTTAATTTTACAATAATTATCACAAAAATATTGCGAGATTGATAATTAAAAATCTCGCAACATTTGAATTGATGAAAAATTATCTCCACAATGCTTTTCTCTTGTCCGTGGTTGTGTTTGTGCATGTAACTGTATGTTTGTGATTGTCTGTTTCATTCTTCATCATCATTTCACCTCATCCCCCAAGCTAACAACCCTGGCCAAGAAACGGATTCAGCATGAAAATTGCTGATCCTTCATAAAAGTCATGTGCACCAAACCTTGATAAATAAGACTGATCCCCGATGGGTTGCACGTTCGCGTCATCCCGAGATGGACAATTCAACACCAAAAAAATTAATAAAATCTAGAAATTTTCATCTCCGAATTATAGGAACCTTATAGGTATCAGTAAACAAACTACAGATATATTTTATAGTATTGCAAACAAAATAGAAACCCACACACCAGGTTCTACTGGTATCCCAACTGGCCAAAGAAGAGCTCGACAAACGGGGCCCATAGTGGAGCTACATTTTCGTCCGGTAACAAAGCAAGGGGCAATCTCAGTATTTCATCGTTGATGATAGACGTACTATGTGAAAAAAACAACAATGTTTACAAGAGGGAGGAAAATACTTTTTGATATTAATAAAGTCACTGAGCATAGGCATTCTACACTTTCTATATAATAATATTAAATATTTATTTATTGCAATCTTTTTCTGAAAGCACCTTACGAAGACCTTCCAAGAGGCTTTTGCTCATTCGAGATATTGTATGATCAATTAATTGTAAAAGTCATATAGAAGGTGTTTTCATTTCCTATTTGAAGATCACACTTTTTATTTTTCTTTAGAAATGATTTTTATAAAACTAAAGAACAAGCAAATTCTAAATCTTAAATGCCAAAATGTAAAAATCGCCAATTCTGTCCCATAGGAGGTTGACCATCTTGAACGAAGATTTTCTCAATGGATCAGGGAAAACGGACGAAAACCCGACCGACATGGACTTCCGAACTTTTACCCGGCGACTACGGACTTGTCCGCTGCGAAGACGCCGACTGAGACACTTAAAGGCGGCTCCAGACACGCGGCATTCGGCGAATTCCGAGCAACCGCTCGCCGAATCCCGAGTAGTGTGGGCAGGTTGCTTGCGATTCGTCGAGCGCCGAACATTCGGTATTCGTCCATCCACTGCGTGTAGGCTTTTAGGACGCAACATTTTTTTCTTCGATTTTCCCCTCTCCAGTTACCCTGGAGAGGCGGCAATTTATTTTTAGTTCGGGTTACATTACATTGGAGCCGATAAGGCTTTTGAACCCGGGGGCATTATCTTAAACATACTAACTAAAACTAACTTACAGCTCATTATAATTCTACTTTAGGCTATGCTAGTTATATAAAACAATTTTTTTAATTTTTAGTTCTTCAAAAAAGTTCTTTTCTCTTTTTTTATTGTCCATTCTCACACGCATTCATACTTAAACTATATTTACAAACACATTAATTCACTGAAACTCGCATCACGACACTTCACTGCACTATTTACATTCAATTCGCCACGGCGCCGACTTTACACAAGCGTCCATGGCGCCGCGACGCCTTCGATTACAGGCGGCGCTGGCCCTGCAGCGCGGCTATCGGCCTCCAAGACACAACAAAGGCAACGAAGACATCAGCTGTTCGGGATTGGACGAGTGCTCGGCGTGCGCGGAGCCGCCTTAACGCTGTCGCCTGCTCGCACGCCACGCGCCCCGGCCCGGGCGCGGGGACCGTGACCGGCGCTGCGCGAAGTTGGGAGATTCGCGGGCGGCGGGGGCGGCGGCGTGCGCAGCCGGCCGCTCACCTCCTGAGCCGCTGCGCTCGCCAGTCTGCGCGCCGCGCTCGTGCTCGCAGGTCGCCGCCGCCGGTCGCTCTCCCACGCAGCCTCCTCTGCCGCCGCCGCCCGCCGCCGACATGCCGTCCGTGTCACCCGTACCCATGCACTTGCCAGGTGAGCTAGCTGTTTGACGGTGCAATCTGATGAACTGGAGAGATCGGGCGTAAAAGGTTGTAACACTCAAAACTGAAGCGCATTTTTGGACGCTATGATTCTTGGATCCTGTCGTCTTTTGTTTAAGTAGTGCGATACTCAAGTCGGGCTTGAGGCAGTGACAATAAGCTACACCAGCAACTGCAAATCTCCAGCTATTCGTAAATGTTAGTATCTCGATTTTGGTGAAAGTGTGGTTCATCTTTTTCCTATACATGCTTTGTTTATATTTATGAAGAGACTAAGCCCTTCATAAATAGATGAGACACTTCGACCAAACACGAGATATTAAGAATAGCAATAGGCTTGCTGTAGCTGGTGTGATTTATTATTATCGCAAGGGCTATAATTTGTAACTCATAGACGGCCCCGGTTGTTGTCATATTTATGTAACCCTATTAAACCTCTTCTAACCACTTGTTTGTAATCTCAGAATCGTTTCCATGTGGGTTGCGTATTATAACTGAATCTTCCAATTTATTAATGCGGCAGCGGTGGTCATCTGCTTATGCTTTCAGTGAATCTTTTGGGTTCTCCTGAAGCGTGCGGTAAAGTGCGTTGAGCTGTGATACACGTATTTACGTTTAGTAGTTTCTTATTTACTGGTCGATACGTCTTGCTAGTGAAATGGAAAAATACTTTTCAGGAACTTTTTGAATCAGTGTTTCAAAATGTACCTCATTTCTTGTTAACTATCAGAGAAAATCTGAAACGCTAAGAATTACTGCGGGCTTGAGTAAATACAATTGTACAAGAAGTCGAGACGTCAATTGTCGACATAATCATTATAAATGAAGATGTATTGTTGTTATCGATGAGTTCAAGGACGTCATCTCTGTACTAGTAGGCAACCGATTTCTATATAAAACATGAAAATATACTAACACTTCTCTCATTCAGTCACAACTTCAGTTCATTCTGTGTCGCCTACATCTGGGTCAGTATACTCCACGCTGTAGTTTCGAAGAAGCCTACGGACAAAAAGCTGCACCACGAGAGTCTTTCCAGGTCGGAATCATATTAAACACGCTCCTGTAGGTCGTCTCCCCGCCCCGGCGTATAGTCCGCGTCGGAATCGTCAATCAAGAGAAGAAAACGCATAACCACGAGGGCTCAGACCCACGATGATATCCAGAATTGGGGAGGCAAGAGGATGCTTGTAGGGGAAATCATAAAGGATATCCGTACACGCAGGTTAGTGCAAGCAGCTTGTGAGATCATCAAGAAACGAGTATCCTTGACCAAGTTTTTTGTTGACACATGGTGTTGTCTGCTTTTGGAACCTTTTCCTCAACACAAATGGCAGAATATTAACAGACTGTGATAGATTATTTAGAAAGAAATGTAAATGAGGCAATGTAGAACGATAGAAGTAAATTAAATAGGAGATTGTTATATATGAAACTGAGGAATCCATATGATTAATTTTAAAAGAAAGATCGTTAAAATCTAATATATATCACACTCGAGAATTAATTTTTCATGTTTTTATTTTTATGTAGAGAAGTTAGTCGTGCATTTGGCTACTGTGCTTTTCGTTTTAATAAAGGAAAATAAAATACTTGCGTTAATTCGATTCCGTCCAAACTTTTTTAGAACTGATGCTTATAAACCTTGCATTTTGCTTTTGCCTTTATTCTTTTTTTTAATTTTGTGAACGTCGAGGCTTACCCTGTTGAAAGCTCAACATTTAATAATAGTGACTTCGCGTACGCTAATCAGTTTAGAGGGATAGTAATACTTTGGTTTGGTATATTTTTTAAAATTCTTTATTTTAGGTCGCTTTAGAAACAGCTATGGTCATTTAGTGACTACTGTTAATTTACATTAGAGATACAATAAAGTTTACAATAATTCAGATCATTTCATTCAGACCAGCAATATTAAAGTATTTTAAAACTGATTAGCAAGAATTAAATATTTTATTTATATCCTTTTAGATCTCAAGAGGGCTTCTTCAATTTTGGAGGTTTAAGCATTCAAGGATAATGGCTTGGTATATTTTCAACAATAGCTTGAGTTAATAAGAGAATCAATATTCTAAGACTAATACAACAAAAGAAATTCAACTTATCCATAGATGAAACAGACCGCTTTTTATCCATTTGAAATATTGCTGTAATAAGAAATATCTTTGTGCAACCAAAGCTGTGATTTTCCATTTTACTCTGTCAAAACACCTCTCGCAACATTTTTTACAAAGTAATGCAAGCATCAAACTCTTATGAAACAGTACTTTAAAAGAAATATATTTTACAAGATGAAAGGTATCCTCCAATAATTGACAAATAAGTAAAAATTTACAGCGTTTGGTATTATACTATCTGAAAATACCAAATAATACAATCACTGAAATATTACTGATGAAAAATACTTTACTGGTCGTTAAGAACAGCCAAACGAATTATTAGTATTTTACCCGTGTTTGCATTACGTAAACTGCAAATTCTGGATATAATCTTGGGTCTGATTTATCATGGATAAGTATTTTGTAGTCTTGATTTACGATTACGAGCTTTTTCTTTGTTACGACACTGCAATTTAACACAGAGTGCCGATAATAACCCACAATGACTCGCTAACTGACAACATCACAGAGCACCGGTCGTTTTACTGGAGGGACGTGTAGTGAAAATTCCAGCCTTATGTAATTCACAATGATGTGAACTTGTGTTTCCAAGAGCACCTCAAATGTTAAGTTAGGATAGAGGATGTAGTGTATGTTATATCGAAGAATAGACATGTATGAATGGATGAATATAAATTCGTAAGGAGAAAATATTTTTACATATCATATTACGATTTTGGACATTTGTAAAATCTCAAAATATTTAAGCGAAAACTTGTATGTGCTGTTTAAAAATGAACAAGACTCTTATTCTAAAACCGCTGATAATTTTTTCATCTCTCATTCTTCCAAAGAAATTGACACCTTAATGATACGAGTTACAATTTCTTGTACGAACTGGTAACATTTATCCTGGAACTGATATAAAATTGTGAATGCATATAAAGATGTCTAAATGGCTTTAGAAAGTTTATTACACTTTTGTTTCGACTACAATATAAACGTTTTAATACTGCTTTTTCAGAAATGACCATGAGCAGAAAAAGTACGGAATTGATTTAAAAGGCGATGTTGGTTCACTGAAGGATTGCTGAAAATGCTTTTAGTAATAAGTATTACAAAAATATTGGACGTTTTCAAAGACGTTTGAAAATCCAGACTCTGTAACTTCATATTTTCATTCCCTGAGATGTGGGCAGAAGAAAAAGAGGGAAATAGTTGGGAGAAGATGAACTCACGTTAGATAATTGTAACTCCGAATAAGCTGCCAAATAATTATTTATCAAAGATATAATATTGACAATAATATAATTCGAATATGGCATCAATCTACCCAATGGAGGCGATGCTATAACTGTGGATATTCTCAGATGATATTGCTAGGTCGACTAATGCGTTGCACGGTAATGCCTGTTTTCGTCACAGCTGCCGCACCCACAGGTGCTGGAAGACCTTGAAAGGCAGGTTTTAGCGAGTTTACTCGCATTTAAACTACAAAGCTGAAGGTGACCTTTTCTTGCAATATCTGGGGATGAGTTGTAAGGTCAAACAATACTTTTCTATCTATAGGAATAAACTAAAATGTACAAAAAGGAAAAATTGTTTCATATTAGCTTAAAGTACAGTGTACAAAGAAGATAGTAGAAATCAGTCAAAAAGTTAGCTAAATGGAGTAATAATAAACACGTGCTCCGTGTAATATACAACACTTTGTTTGCAACGTACTTAAGTTCGAGAGTCATCAGTTCACCTTCATGAATTTTGCTACGTCTAATAAAGCGTCCTGAGTTTTTCTCAGATGACAGTTAAAACCTTCGTTCAGTCGTAAATAGTCTTCGAGGAATGTAAAAATAGTTTAGAATGTATTTCTTCTTGAAACTATTAAAGAACATAAACGTTCTGCCGCCCTGATTTCTAGTCTAAATTATTACAACAAAAAGTTTGTTGAAGGGAACAGAAAAGACGATATACGATTGCCATTAAATTGCTCTATTTCTCAAATAAATCATCTTTCAAAACTCTTAGAATACGTTTTGCGATATGTAAAGTTACCTACTACACTCCTTCAGCAAAATATGAGTTTCTGTAACAATTTATTTAATTATTTCTTTCGCTTCCGTTTTGTGTTATAAAAACTGCGACAGTATTTTTACCAGTGCTCTCATACGTAATCCTACGAATGATTATGTGTAAAATGACAATGTTAATTACGAATGTAATATGAGAAGACCCAAGACACTAAGGAACCGGGTCATTTTCATGGAAGCAAATGGAACAAAACAACCCGTCTTCTTCCTCTTCAGATCGACACGCGTTCTTGGTTCCGTTGCATTGGCGATAAGAGAAAGCAATTTGCTGCTTCAAACTCACACTATTTGCTCTGGCAATGTTTTCACAGGCGACAGTTTCCTTGTTGAAGATGCGCGGGAAGTGTACACGACCATTTTCGTTTTTCCGCCACTTTCTCCACGTTAATTTCGAATATGCATTCCAGATGTTGTACACTAACTCCTCCACCATGATAATTATCAATAAAGAGGTGTTACAAAATCACTAAATAAAAGATGATAGGTTTGAAAAATCTATTATGTAAATGTTGAACCTTTAAATTGTATAGTTCAGCCTCTAACGTTTTAAAATAATGTTGCTTCTGTGATCATAAGAACTTCTAAAAATGTGTCATGTAAGCATATTTGTTTCGTTATTTATCACTGGAATGGAAAAATTTAACGGTAAATTATACTAGATAAAATGAAAATAATTAGAAATGTAAATAAACAGAGAAAATTAAGTGGCATAATATTCTGTTATACATGCTTAGAAAAATAAGATGAAAAAATTGGCCAATGGTTTGGAAAGTGAGTTATCTTTGCCAATTGTTTTATAAAAGAAA